CACCCAGGCGCCCCGACGGTCCTGTATTTTGTACCTCCTGGGTACCTGAGCATATAGTTCAGGATGCTATAACAGAAATACCATAGACTGGGTGGCTTAAACAGCAGATGTTTATTTTTTTCACAGTTCTTGAGGCTGGAAGTCCGAGATCAGGAAGCCCACATGATTGGGGTCTGAGGAGGCCTCTTGGGCTTACAGATGGCCACCTTCTGGCTGTGTCCTCACATGACAGAGACAGAGAGAGCTCTGGTCTCTTCCTCTTCTAAGAAGGACACCAATCCCATCATTGGAGGTCCCATTCTCATGACCTCACCGAAATCTAACCTCCTCTCAAAGGCCCCACCTCCAAATACCATCACATTGGGTTTCAACCTATACTTTTGGAGACAACACAAACATCCAGTTCATAACAGTGGGGAACAGAGGGCGCTGTCTGGAAGGAGGCGAGGTCACAGTGTAACCCACTGGCCTTCTCCTGGGTGGAGGCCGTGGTCAAGGTCAAGGTCAACGCTGGCACTCCGTAAAATGCCTCCTGTGGGCTTTGCACACGCAGAGCCTGGAATGCACTTGGCCGGTGAAGGGGTTCCTCTTTTTGGACCACATCCTACAATCACTGCTGATATTCACAAACTGGCGCTGGAGATAAAGCGTGGTTTCACCTCTTCTCAGTGATCACCGCCTCTATAATTCACAAGTGACCCATGGGAACACAGACCCCCCAAGTAAAGCCGATGATTCCCTTTGCTCTCTCTAATATAGACATGTGGTATGCATTCTGGAAGCTCCTCCAAACAACAGAGAAGAGAACAGGGGTCGCAACTGACAGGTCTGAGCACTTAATGCACGTGTTACACACTGTGCTTGCATGACCACAGGCACTCTCACCCTCACCATAATCCCGTAGGTTGTTGTTCTAGAGGGTGGTGGGCTTTCTGCCATTTTATGTACTCGGTCATCCAGGCTCACAGTAAATAACCTGCCCCCAGTTACGACCATGGGGATGGTGAAGCCAGGAGTCTAGAACAGGTTAGAGGACTCACAGGCTCACAGTGTCCAACTACTCTGCCTCACCACATCATCAAACTCTGTCCTCAGGTACAATCTCCTTCTTTGAAGAGGAAATAAATAAAAAATTGTTGGCCCCATTCCATCCTCGGGGAATCGATGTGGGGTCTGAAGAAATAGAGGTTGTACCTGTGGAGGTATCCTCTGCCTGTGTTCAGAGATGACTCTCCAGGCCGTGAGATAGGAGCCTCTCACCGGGGGGGCACCAGTGGACCCCCCTGGGAAAGTCGACGGGTAGCTTTTCTTATTTCTTTTTCTGAGATTGCTTCTCCAAAAGCGGCGCAGATCCATTTCCTTCTGACCCCAGAGTACCTTGACCTGGTCCAATGCAATTCTGCAGAATTCGAAGAGGAGCCCAGTTTCAGAGAGCGTGGGTGGTGCTCGAAAGAGAATACAGCTCTGTGTGTCGCTCAGACCCAGGCCCTCCGAGGTGGGGGTGGCTGAGTCTGGTACGGTGGTTCGTGCCAGGAATGATGTGACATGAAGGCTTGTGACAGGCCACGTGCACACAGAGCGCTCTAAACCCATTGTGGGCTGCCGGAGTAGCCTCGCGAAACGTCTGCGGATCCATTATATCTCTAGAAATGTGTGCGACGAGTCCTGTAAAAGCAATAACTTTGTTACTGTGAAAGTCCTGAACTTTCATCTCTCTCCTGAGGATGACTTTCTACTTAACAAAACTTTTTAAAGTCGCCTTAAGTATTTGGGGCCCCGATACCAGCTACAGAATTCTGGAAACCACGCTTTAGACTGGTAACTGATTTGGGGTGTTTTTTTTTTTTTTGGAGACTGAGGAGGGGTGAGTGTGGGAAAGATCACAGAGGTGTAGCCTGTAGTTTGGGATATTTGTTCTACCAGCGACCGGGTCCTTCCTACTGGACGAAATGCAGAAGTCGAACTATCCTGTCCCTTCACAGTGAGTATCCCTCACCGTTAGAAGGATGAAAGAGAATCAAAGTAAATAGCCTCTTTCTCCGTTCAAAGTCTCTTCTCTTCTTTTTCTGCCTGAAGCACTTCTGAGCCTGAATTCAGCTTTCCTACATTGCCTCTTGCACCAAAGCTGCCCTGTGTCACCTGTAAGTCAATTACAGAGGGAAAAACACACAAAGCCATTAGAAGGAAGTAAAAAGTATAAAAGGCCCGGCAAGCCCTAAGAACGCTGACACACTGCTAAGCCACAAGAAAGCAAGAACAGGCATGATTTCTATTTGAAAGGATGAGGGTCAGAGTGTGCAGGAAGCTCAGATGTGGGCATTTTTCAAGTAAGGATGATTGAGACCGGATTTGAAATTGACAGGTTTTCAAAAAAGTAAACAGGGTATTTTTCCTACATGAAGGCATGCTAAGCACGTTCCTTAAGGAGTGGAAATAATAGAGAATAAATCAACGATGTTTGTTTTAACCTGAATGCCACCATGAATGTTCCTGGGCAAAACAACCTACTGAGAGCAGGAAGCAAGGGGAGGTGCGTAAGCAAGAACGGTATTAAATTCAATCAATAGGTTTTCTGTTCTGCCACGACCAAAGCAAGGAAAGAGGAAGGCTAAGGTTTTCAAAGAATAATTTACTTTTTCTAGGTTTATTTATTTATTTTGAGAGTGAGCGCTCCTAAGTGTGGGAGGGGCTGGGACAGAGGGAGAGAGAGAGAGAGAGAGAGAGAGAGAGAGAATCCCAAGGAGACTTCACACTGTCAGCCCAGAGCCCAACGCAGGGCTCAATCTCAGGTTCGTGAGACTGTGACCTGAGCCAAAATCAAAAGGCGGACCCTTAACCGACTGAGCCACCCGACTGCCCCTCAAAGAATAATTCAGATTAGGCACTACACAAAGTGAAAAGAAAGAGGATAGCAGTATTCATCACCAACCCAGGATGTCAAATCAGCCTCCCTTGCTTCATGATCCGTCCTCAGACCTGCTAGACACTCCCCCATGCTTTCCCCTCTCGCGCAAAGTCAAGGTGGCCCCAAGCCCCATATCTGTGCTTCCCGGCCTCCCCCTCAGACCTCATCTCTTGCTGCCTCCCCTCCTTCACAACTCCAGCCACACCAGCCCCCTGGCTCTTCCCCAGAGGTCCCACTCCTTGCTCCTTCCATCAGTACCGTGATTCCCCTGCCTCCTTTATGTCTTTGCTCAAATGTCCCCTTCCCTTGACCATCTGATGTAGTATCGCAGCCCTTTCCAGCCCACCTTGTGTTTCTCCATAGTACTTACCACCCTCTGATGTATTCTGTGTTGTGCTTTATCGTCGTCTTCTGCATCTAAACACAAACTCTAGGAGAATGGCAAATTTTTGCTCTTTTGTTTGCTCTTAAAGTGCCAGAGCCGAGAAGAGTCTCGACATAGAGATGTAGGACACATTTGTTGAGTCAACAAGTGAGTGAATGAACACAATCGCTGTACTTGTGTGTTGGGGGCGGTGGGGGGGGGGGGGGGGGGGGGGGGGGTTCATGGGGCACTCACCGGAAGGAACCATGGCTCAGATTTACGACTGCAAAGAAACAGGCACTCCGTCGGGGGGTTACCGCACTTAGAGATTATTATCGGAGCTGTAGTGGTACCGTCTGACAAATATTGGGCTCTAATTTTTTTTTTTTTAATTTTTTTTTAACGTTTATTTATTTTTGAGACAGAGAGAGACAGAGCATGAACGGGGGAGGGTCAGAGAGAGGGAGACACAGAATCTGAAACAGGCTCCAGGCTCTGAGCTGTCAGCACAGAGCCCGACGCAGGGCTCAAACTCACAGACCACGAGATCATGACCTGAGCTGAAGTCGGCCGCTTAACCAGCTGAGCCACCCAGGCGCCCCTGGGCTCTAATTCTTAAGAGAAAAGGTCTTATCCTCTAGCTTTTTTGCTCTTACTGACTTCATATGAGAAATTCCTGAACAAACCTGGGGAACATGGGCAAGATGTTTAGCCTTGAAATACATTCTGTGATCTTTTCTGTTTCCTCGTGAACTTGATCTGTTCATTAAATCTCATCTATAAGTTTCATCATGTTTGTGAGCTTGCAGGCTGGCTGGTGGAGAGAGGAGGCAGGGAACACCACCTATCAGAGGAGATGTTTGCTGATGGAGGTCAAGGCCAGCCCCCTGGTAGATCTCGTTAAGTAACAGAGATGTCTCTTTGGTGGGGGGTGCAGGAAAACAGTAATGAGTAGCCAGGAACAGGGCTGTGAGAAAAATCAGGAGAATTAGCAGATCTTTCTCCTGTGGTTTCTTCCAGGCACAATTATCTAAAACTCAAAGCACAAAAACTAAGCCTTTATTTCAGCAAACCCATAATACTCCTTGCCACATGCCGTTTGCTAAACACAGAGAGTTTAAAAAAAAAAATGTTCCTAGACATAATTTCATTATAGTAGTTGACACACAAACTATTACCACCACCCACTAGCTTTCTTGGACACTGATATGTCTGGCTGAGGGGAAACTTCTGGCCCGTGTGGCTTCCTTCTGCAATTACCATAATCTCCACCCTCCGGAGGTCACGATGCGGAAGTGGATTAGCGCACAAGCCTTTGGGGTCTCTGGAGAAGAGAGTTCAAATCCCGAGCTTAGGTCATGAGTAAAGATGAAGGGGGTTGGTCTAACGGTTTATTCCCCTTGGGGAGCCGTGAAAGGCCCAGCTAGTTATGATTATTAACCTCACTGAAAAGAAGCACAGCCAGGAATGTGGTGAATTGGTCCTCATCCAGTGAAACTGGCAACAGCCCACAGACTCCTGACTCTGAATTCACTCTGGACTTTTTCAAACACAATGTGAATTTTTTCAAAAGAAATCACAGTGTGACTGTTCCCTGGCAGAGAGAAGCATGTCATTTTGCAGAAGTGCCCATTTGAGCTCAAATAATTTAATGGAGATAAAGCAGTCTGTGATTATCAGCACATTATGAAGAGCGGGACAGATCCACTCTCTTGTCTTCTCTCTTGACAGGTGTATTTCTACTGGATTTGCCGGGATCCAAGGGCTTTTGAATGGTTTGCTGATCTCTTACTCTCGCTGGAAACACTCATGAATGAGCGAGGGAAAGCTCACTTTCTGAGTTATCATATATTTCTTACCAACTGGGATGAAAATCAGGTATTGATAAGACTCTTAAAATGATCAATATTACATACGTCATTTAAAAATAGAGCAAAGGGAAGAGAAACCATGTCAATAATGAGCTGTATGGTTATCTGGTGGCATGAAAGACTTATTTGTCTGTTCGTAAAAAGGAAAGAAGGATAAAATAAAACCAGATTAGAAGAGTTATTCAAATAATAGCAATGGAAAAATCTACAGTTAACTTGCTGAAGAATAGACAAGCAGATTAGAAAAGAGGTTAGTTAATGGAAGATAATCCCAAGCGTGGAAATCCAAGAAAAATTATGTCACCAAAAGTTGCATTTGTCATTTCAGGGACATCAAAGCACATATTATTGGTTAACTGTATTGTCTTGTTCAGCTCCTGATTGGGTCTAATTCTATGCTTTCAGCTATTCAGAGTTAAATAGAAAAAACTCGCAAGTGTTTACATTCAACCTTTTGTATTGTAAAGTATGTGAATGTCTACAGAAAATCATCATTATGAATACATGATTTATCTAGAGACTTCTTTTTCTTAAGGCATTCTTAGAAATCGTGTGCACATATGTTTATTCACCTAAGATCAAGGTGGTCTTCTATTGTGGCAGGTGTTTGGAAGCATATTGTGTTAATGAAATATTAAGGTGGAGCTTCCCAAAAATAGTGTATATCAAAATATCACACTAGGGTAGTATTTCAGTGTTGGTAATATTGAATGATAACTACTAAGTTCTAAATTTTTTTTAACTCCTCAAATATGGAAGCTAACAATGAAGTGATCCCTAGGTTTATGAAACTTTATGTTCTAATCAGCACTTCCATAGCTGCTTGGATTGATATTTACTTTAAGGAAAGTATGTTTGAGCCAAGATTTGCATTAATCACTAAATTTACAAATGAATGTGCTCCTGAGGCTGGGTGTTGGGCGCTCCTGCCCTCTGCCTCCCAGTCTGTCTCCCTCCCTCTCCCTCCTTCTCTCTCTCTCTCTCTCTCTCTCTCTCTCTCTCTGTCACACACACACTGACACACACACATGCAGACCCCACAAGAGATTGGTGAAATTTGATTCTGAAATTCCAGTAAGACCAAGCTTGAAATTCAGTAGCTAAATGAGTTTTTAGGGTCTTATTTGCAGGAGGCCTTAAATATTTATTCCTCTGGGATAGTTTGAAAGACAGGTTCCTTGGGAACTAGGCCTAAAACATCTTAATGAATTAAATAGTGTTAATTATGTTTTCCAAACAAACATTTTCCTTATTCAAATGGGATTTTTGACTAATGATCCATTTGATGAAGTACAGACACAGCCTTTGTTTTTTACTTTCAAGTACCGTGCTTGCTTTCAGCTTCTAAAGTGAATTGATTTCAAGTGTCCATCCAGGAATTTCCAGTCATTTGGGAGTCTTGAGACTGAGGTTCTGTTTGATTTTTGTGACAATACAACTCTGCCCCGTCCTATCTCTGCCTCCTCTAAAAGTGTGCTGTAAGATACACTTTTTTTCTGAATACAAGTAAATTAAAATAGACGTGTTCCTAAATTTTTGTCGTGACATGTTGAAACTCTTTAGATGCTCAAATTCCAGGAAAAAATAATTGGTGCATTCTGTCAGTGAGGAATCAAAAGGCTGTTTTAGAAGTAGCCAATTGTTAAGCTGAATTCAACAACCTCAAAGTGGCAGAATGACAAGAACAGAAGGGACAGATGGAAAAGGTATTATGAAGGGCAAATCAACAGGGTTTGGGAGATTAATTGAATGTCGGGCTGAGAAATATGGAACAAATATAATTCCAAATGTTTGAACATCACTGATTGGTAGTTCCACAGTACCACTAACCTAAGTAGAAAAGGGCCCTTTTTTTCTATTAAATAATGCCCAAGCTTCTTAGCAGCTGCTTGAAGGCCCTTCCTGACCTGATGGCAAAGGACTTGTTCCATTCCATTCCCATCATGCCCCTCTGGGCTCCTCTGGCATGGAAGCCACTGAACAATGGCTCGTATTTGCATGCCTACAGGTTTTCCCTCTCTGTTCCCTCTCCCTGGCAATCACTTCATGTCTTCTGTCCTCCCCACTGCCTACTGAGTGGCATGGTTCTTTAAAGCCCCATTCCATGTATGGCCATCCCCAGTCGTCTTGGTCAAAGTGACTCGGGGCTTCAGCAGGGTAATTTGTTTACTTCTCCAGAGCACTTTGTTTCTGTCTCTAGTTAAACAGGATTGTGGTCTGACTTATGTCGTTGTAGTTGTGCACTTGGGCTTGCCCTTCCTTTGATGACTAGTTCCTCACAGAGCACAGACCTTCTCTATTTCTTTTTGTACCGCCCACTCATTCCTGCTTATAGCAATCGCGCAACAATTGTATGTGGAAGTAAATTGAAGTCACAAAATATCTGAAGATTCATTTTTGGCTACGATGATCAGTTTGAAGGGACACAAAAAATTCTACATAAAAATATGCTTGGGGAGTTCAAGTCCCAGGACACTACCCAGGCAGGAAGATGAGGGCATGGGGGAGAAAGTTTGGAGTGATCTTTATAGACTATGCTAATTGGGACCATGAAAATGAAAGTTCTTTGGAGAGAAGTGCCCCAGAAGTGACTACGGACTGGGAAGGCAGCTGTATTGTGAGGCAGGAGAATGTCATAGGAAAACAAATGTAACATTTCATCTTTGAATAAAAAGAAGAGTCGGAGAGAAGTAGAAGAAACAGGATTATACAATGCATATAAGATCAAGGAGATGTTCAGCCATGTGGTTGGTGGAGAAGCCAAGGAGCGCAGCCCTGGGTTGGTGTTTAGATGTGGCACCTGGTCAAAGGTAAATTGGTTGCCTCTGCCTTCTTATTTGCTCACAGCCGAAACCAACTCACTATCTGGCTCCAGTCAATCCTACTGTTAAGCAAGAGGGCTGTGGGGGGTGCAATGCTGCCACTCTAATCCGGAGGCTGACACCGCTCCCTCTGACCTGGAGTTCCTGTTCTGATAACAGGGCTTCTGTGAGTTTTTGAGGCTCAATCCCCAACTACCACCTCAGTTCTCACTCCTAAACTCTTCCCTAATACTTCATGCTTCACTCCTCCTCTTAATAAACCTGCCCCAGAAGAGGATCCCACCATCCTCTCATTATTGCTCCCTCTCCTGGCGTGGCTATTCCCAAACTCGATTCCAATGGGATCCCGGCCACCTGGAGTCAGACTTGCCTGATGGCAACCTCCTGCAGCCCGGGTTTCTGCGATTCTACCATTGTGGGCCATCCACCTACTGGCCCATTGGGGTGCCTCCATTGTTTTCTGCTCACCCACCCTATCTCGGGCTGCTTTCCTAGCCTGATGAGGCCAGCCTGGGAGGCCAGGTGTGCAGCAGGAACCTGGGGTAAGAGTTGAGCCTAGCACTTGTTAGCCAAACTGGTGAGGAGAAATCCTCAGTAGACGGTCCTGTGCCCCAGCCTCTTATTTATCGACCACTACTTACCCGATGCCTGGGTGCATCTAATTTGAAGATAAACGGTTGGGCACAGAGCTCCAACCAATGCACTTGCTGTGCTTGGCCATCATGGTCCATCTGCCAGACTCAGCACCCTCCCAGCATTGAGCCTGGATGGCACACTTCAAACTATCTCAACCCAGTAGGCGAATCTGATTGTCAGATCCAGCTTCTTCCTGGACATTTCCCATCATTTTAATCTGGAAGGGCCATTCTCAAATCCTGAGGTTTAATAAGTAAGTGAATGGGGACAGGGGTAGAGATTAATTTTTGAGAAGTTTGGCAGAAAAAAGGAAGTAGCTTAACGCTTGCTTTCCTTTACCCATATTTACTGTATCGCTGTCAGCCTTGCAAAGAAAAATCTTTCCAGGCTCACGTTATTGCACATTGACCATGGCAAAGGCCCTGTGTTTCAGTAGCACCCAAGGCAGAATACAAAGATAAATGAGATGTGATGCCTATCCCAAAATGCAAAAGCAGTGATTTCTGATAATAATGATAAGCATTTCCAGCCCCATGAAGAAATTTTTCGAGTATTACATCTGCAAAGGAACATAATTACCTGATCTTTTAGTAGCACGTTTCCATGGGGTTTTTTTGTTTGTTTTTTTGGTTTTGTTTGTTTGTTTGTTTCGGTAAGTGTCACCTGATAGCATAATTTTTCTTTTAGGCTGTTCACATAGCTTTACATTGGGATGCAAATACTGATGTGATCACGGGGTTAAAGCAGAAAACGTTCTATGGAAGACCTGACTGGAACCACGAGTTCCGGCAGATGGCCTACACCCATCCCAGGTAAGGCGCTCTCTTTCCTCTGCCTGTGGGAGCCTCGCAGGAGGTTGCTGCTCAAGTGGAAAAGTCTAGGGCACAGGCTGCTTCAGGCGCAGTAGTGGGCACCTTGGGCACCTTGTTTAGAGATAAACATCAACCTGAGAAATGGTGGTCATAGGGTTTTCCAGGCACCACGGACCTCTGCTTGACTGGCTTACAACATTTAAATATTAGCAATTGCGCTGAAATTTTTCCTACGTAAACTCAATTAAAGATGGTATTTCTTAAACTACCTACGTCTCGAAGAAATGTCCAGTGAACACGGTTGATCTCAACTTGCCCAACTGGAGAATTCACGTATGTCCAACTGTAAAATGTATCTCATATGTTTAGCAAAGCAGACAAAAAATGTTATGAGACCAAGCAGAGATTTCCTATGGCGGTGAAAGACTCGGGATCTGGAGCCTGAGATCTTGGGTGTAAATCCTGGCTCTGCCATTGTCACCTACTTAGTTGGACGGGTTATTTATCCTACCACGGACTTAGTCTCCTGTGTAAATTGCAACTACTAACAGTGCTTACCTCCCAGGCTTCCGTGAGGGTTAAGTGTGTGAAGACATATAAAGCATCTAAAGGAGTGAATTCAGCAGTGTTAGCGGCTATCATCATCATCATCATTATTATATTATATACATATATATAATATATATTATATTATACATATTATATTATATATGTTAATATATAATATATTATATAATATATATTATATAATATATATTGATATATTAATTAATATT